CAAAAAAAATTGATGAAAAGTCAAGTAACACGTCGAAAATATTAGGAATAATACCATATATAGATCCAAAAAGTTTCAAGAATTATAATCAAAGCCAAAAATTTAAATTAAATATGAAATCCGATGTGTACAGCGTTGGAGTTTTGCTATGGCAAATTTCGAGTGGGCATAGACCTTTCGAAAATGTTGACTATGATATGACATTATTCTCGAATATATCGAAAGGGTGTAGAGAGAAAATTATTAATGGCACTCCTATGGAGTATTGTAACTTATATCAAGGTAAAGCGCATTGATATACTTTGTTCTGTGATATTTTTTTTTTAGAAGTTGATCCATTCTTATTAACTTTAAATAGAATGCTGGAAATATAAATCAAAGGAACGTCCAGATATGCAAAAGGTTGTTTCTGTTCTTGACAAGATAGAAAAAAACATGTCTCTAAAAAGCAATGGAATTAATACAATAGAGAGGTATAGACCAAATTCAGAGTTAGGCGAGACAAATACAAAAGATTCAGGTATTTGATATTGCTAAATATTCAAATCAAAAACTTCAATCAAAAATGAAGGCATATGAAAATAACTCATCAGTTTCGATCGAGACACATTTTTCAAAAGGTTCATCCGATTCAATATTCAATAATATGATTGAAAATTTAATTACAATTTTAACCAAGAGACATAATAAAGGAATTACTTTTGATCAGATTAAACAACTATTGCAATTTAATCAAATCACACATGAACTCATAACTTGGCTTGAAAATCAATATGAAGCACAATATATTTGGTTTCTTGGATTATTTTATTATTATAACGTTAATATGAAAGAAAATAGTATCAAAGCATTTAAGTTATTTTTAAAAGCATCAGAAATGAATTATTCGATGGCGCAAGTTTATCTTGCTAAATGTCATAACGATGGATATGGAACGGAACGTAATGAAAAGTTGGCATTTAAATCTTTTAAAAAATCTGTAGAAAATGAAAGTATCATTGGACAATTTTATTTAGGATATTGTTATGATTATGGTATTGGAATTGAAATTGATGAAGAGAAATCAGTTAATTGGTATAAAAAAGCGGCCGGTAATGGAAATATTTTCGCAAGGCTCTATCTTGCAGATTGTTATAAATTAGGAAAAGGAATAGAAAAAAATGAGACTAAAGCGTTTAAATATTATAAAATTTTGGCCGATAGGGGAATTGATGATGCACAATTTCAACTCGGGAATTGTTTTCATAATGGAATTGGAACCGTGAAAGACAGGAAACAAGCTTCATACTGGTATAATCAAGCAATGAAAAATGGTGATATTATCGCAAAGCATATTCTTAAAAAATATTATCACGAAAAAAATAAAATTAATATTAAAGATATAATTAAATTGAAGGGTTTAAAACCTTTTGGAATGTATCATATTAAGAAAATAATCATAAAATCAGGTTCCCTTTATTATCTTCAAAGAGCAGCAGAAAATGGGTATAAAGTTGCACAACATAAACTAGGTAAGCATTATAGGGATGGTATAGGTATCGAAAAAAATGTTAGAAAAGCCTTTGAATTATTTAAGAAATCAGCAGCGCAAGGTTATATAGAAGGAAAGTTTTCAACTGGGTTATTGTTATTATAAAGGAATTGGAATCGAAATTAATAGATCGAAAGCGATCGAATTATATAAAATAACGGCCAATCAAGGAAATTATGGAGCGCAAAATAATCTTGCGATATTATATGAGAGTGGTGAAGGAATAGAAAGAGATTATAACAAAGCGGCAGAGAATGGAAACGAGATTGCGCAACATAATTTGGGTAGATGTTATCGAGATGGTATAGGCACGAAAAGAAATGAAAGGAAAGCTTTTGAGTTATTTAATAAATCAGCAGCACAAGGGTACGTAGATGGAAAATTTCAACTTGGTCATTGTTGTTATAAAGGAATCGGAGTTGAAGTTAATAAATCAAAAGCGATTGAATTGTATCAAATTGCAGCCGATAAGGGGAATTACATAGCTCAAAATATTCTCGGAATACTATATGAAAACGGTGAAGAAATGGAGAAAAGTTTAGAAAAAGCGATTTATTGGTACAATAAATCGACAGAAAGTTGTTATGAAGTTGCACAATGTAATTTAGGTAATTGTCACAAATTTGGAATAGGTGTTGAAAAGGATGAAATGAAAGCATTTGAGTATTATAAAATAGCAGCCGAGAGGGGATATAATATCGCACAAAATAATCTCGCGATATTATATGAAGATGGTCGACAAAAATTTCGAAATGGCCACCTATTGGTATAATGAATCGGCAAAAAACAAAAATAATATCATGCAATATGGTTTAGATAGTCGTATTAATTTAGAAATTGGGATTGAAAAGGATGAAATCAAAGCGTTCACGCAATTTAAGATAGCAGCCGAAAGGGGATATTTGAACGCACAATTTGAATTAGCATTTTATTATTTATATGGACTTGGAACGGAAGTCAACAAGCAAGAGGCGTTTAAATTATACAAAATAGCGGCCTATAAAGGGAACAATCTCGCACAAAATAGTCTTGGGACATTGTATCAAAAGGGTGAAGGGACGATAAAGGATTTAAAAGAAGCGATTTATTGGTATAAAAAAGCGGTGGAAAATGGAAATGAAGTTGCACAATGTAATCTGGGTAATTGCTATAAAATTGGAATAGGAGTTGAGAAGAATGAAATTAAAGCAAAGGAATGTTATGAAAAAGCAGCCAAAAAAAGGATATAACGTTGCTCAAAGTAACCTTGCAATGTTATGTGTAAATGATGAAATTTTAGAGAAAGCTATTTATTGGTATGGTAAAGTGGCGAAAGATAAAAATGAGATTGCATGATGAAGCAATTGTTTTTTTGAAATAAAAGCTTTCGGGTTGTGTAATCCTTGTAATTATCATGACGCAGTTCCATTATTTTTTCTTCATTGAGGGAATAAATATCCTCGTTAATTATTCTAACCGGTTAAGTTAGTTTCATCGGAAATATATTATGTAGATTATTTATTTCCCCCAACCGAACCAATCTTGCATTTGTGATAACCTAGATTGGTACTCACGATTATTTATAAAATAGATTGACGATATGCAGTACGAATTCGGTTAATATGGGAAAATTTATTTGTTTATGATTTCCCGCCATTTAGCCATAAGATTCGAGTAGGTAATTTATAGAAATTGATTTAATCATCATGAATTACATAAAGCCGATTAACTTACAATTACATACACGTCAACCCTTCATTCGTCAATTATTTACGTAGAATTTATGATATTCCTGTGCAACAGAGATGGGAATTGTGCACTGCGCTTGGGCCAGAAAGTGCATAACGCGTGTAACCCAAGGTTAAAGCAAAACAAAGACCATAAAGTGCCAGGTCCCATCGTATCCGATCCATTGTATGTCATTATAATTCATGGGGTGATCATCCCATGCATCTTAAAATAAATTTACTCCACCTGAACTTGCAAAAAAAAAAAAAAAAAAAAAAAATGGTTATATAAATATATAATACAACATATTTTTTTTTATTTCACAAAAAAAAAAAACGCCAATGCAATATAAAAAGATAATACCAATAAAAATATATTGTTTATATAAATATTGTTTTCTTTTTCTTTTCTTTTTTTTTTTTTTTTGTTAATATTGTTTCCGGTGTGTTGATATAATCAAGAATCTTTTTTGTTCTCACGTTCATATATTCATATATATCGATGGAAGAAGAGGTATGAGATTTCAAGGTATCATATAATAATGATTGTTTAAAATAGTTTAACATTTTTTATTTGGTGTTAAAAAAAATATAAGGAATCAAATGCACCACAAAAAGATATTTCTTCTTTAGTTATTGCATCGACTTCACATAACGTAAATTCCACATACAATTTATATATTGAACGAAATCGAATAATAAATGGAAATAAAGTTATAAAGGTTGATAATTCAAATTACGCTTTATCAAATGATGGACAAGGATTAAATGTACAATCATTACAGCATTCTTTATTAAAACATGCTTGGAGAAGTAATTTTTCTTCTCCCATTCATGAAGCACTAAAAACTGGTGGACTTAAAGTATTAGATGTCGGGTAAGTAATTTTTATTGGACAAACCCTTTCTGTTGAAATTCCAACCATGAAATCTCCCTCAATTTCGTACCGGTTTCCGGAACTCAGATGTGGACATGGCGCTTGGTTATTGGATATGTGTAAAGATTACCCGCTATGCGATTTTGTGGGATTAGATATTTCTCCCGTATTTCCTTCGACGAGTTCCTTATCTCCAAATTTAAGTAATTTAGCATTCATACAGTCAAATGCATTGGACGGATTACCGTTTAAAGATAATACTTTTGATTTCGTACATCAACGTTTGTGGTTGAACGCATTGAACGTGAGGCAATGGGAACCCGCAATTCGGGAATTAAAGAGAGTTTGTAAGGTTGGCGGTTGGCTTGAGGTTTGCATTTTATAATTTCTTTTTACTCAAAGAATTAAATACTTGTCAATCAAAAAACTGATTGATAATCATCGTACTCATCAGTTGTTGGAAACGGACGTTGTATATCATAATGAAGGCATAAACACGAGGAATTTAAGAGCATCTCGTATGTGTTGAAGTGGAAAGTGTCTGTTCACCTTTTGTTAAATTTTCGTTATTGGCATTTTGTATAATAAATATTAACTTTTTCATGTCACGCGATATTTGTTAGTCTTGGCTTTTTTTTATTCAAACTATTTATTTATAGATGTATGCCGTCAGATACCACATTTCCTTAAATCAGACGGTTCTTTCGATGAAGTTAACAAAACGGAATGTGACATCCCTTTGGGTTCTTGGAATGGAAAATTCGGTGAATTGGTAATTATCAACTTTCCCATGATGGAAATACATTTGACGCAAAAAAGGAGATGTTAAATTTCTTTTTGTTCTATAGGCCATGAAAATTATATATGAAGGATATAAAGTTATCTATCCGGAATTAAAACCAATAATGGAAGTTAACGAAGAAGAGTATGAGGAGATTTTAAATAAATTTGTAAAAGAAGCAAACGAGCTCAAAACTTATTACAAAGCTTTCAGATACTTTTGTCACAAATTTAGATAAAATTAAGGGTGTGCAAATTATTGTTATGGCTTTTATCAAATCGATGGAAAAATTATGCATAAATATTTTTTTAAAAACAAATAATGAATAAAGTTTATGATTCCAATTTTAGAAAGTAAATATTTGTAAATCATAATCGGATAGTCTCCATACGTTCTTAGGTTTGGAATTATTGATTAGCTTCTAATTTTTATTTATTTTGTTACAAAAAAAAATTTTTTTTGGTCAAAAGTGAACATTCATTCTTATTAGTAGTGTTTACCTGATACTCAGACTGATAAGGAAAAGCAAAGACTACAGATGAGTTTCCTTTTTTTTTTGAATATTCAGTAAATTTTATGAACTTTATCCGTTTTAAGTTAGCGGATTGGTTCGCCATTTCGATCAGCTTTTACGCCTTTATTTAATTAAAAATATCGGTTTCAGTATGATTTTTTTTCCATAGATGATGTTTTAATTTACACAGTTCATTTTAAATTCTTAAAATATAAAATTTGGTTTTTTTTTTTTTTTTTGGATTTTATTACATGTTATGCGAAATTCAATAATTTCGATATTACGAAAAGTTTCGAAATTCGAAATGCATTAGCGAAATTCAAAATGTATCGAAATATTCATGCAACAAACATATGATAAAAATGTTGTGTACCAACATTTAATGTAAGAGAAAAAAAGTAAATAAATTTCTATCTTTGCAATTTTTACATATTGTTTTGTCTACCTTTGCAGTTTTTTTTATCATAATTGTTTTCACAATTGTCTTTTTTTTTAATATTTCTCAAAAGTAATACTAATATACCTGTTATACAGTAACGAATAATACACTCATTTTTAGAATGAAATTGATAATTGGAGTTACTCAAGGTCCGGAAGTTCAAATAGTACTATTACGGATATTAGCAGAAGTACACAATCAACTTTTCAATTAAGTTTTGATGATTTAAATAAAAAATAAAAAAAGTATAGCAAATAACGTCTGTGAAGTCCATCTGCTTTATGACCAAATGCGAAGAAAGAAAATATGCTGCAAATTGCAATTTTTGTACTATTAAATGGTCATAAAGTAATGTATGTAAATTTATTTTATTAATCTATAAATTTAATTTACGAATTAACTTAATCAACGTATAGAACTACTAACAAATATTGAATTTAATACTTCTTCATCTATTTATGAAAAACTAGTTTAGCAATTGAAAATCCTTTTTTTATAGAATTTGTAAAAATATCTACATCTTGTATATAATCCTTCAAATTGCCAAATACTTGCAGAAAAAAACACTTAGTCATAACAGTAAAAATAAAAAAAATTTTAATATTCAAATGAATTTTAATATATAGGCAATTTCTATTTGTACACGGGTATTTGTATATGTATCACATGATACGGCCAGCATTAACATTATTTTCGCCGGCATTAAGAAATTAAGAAATTAGCCATGTGACGGTTAAGGTGCGACGAATAATAATTTTTCATTGATAAAATTCTGTTCCTGAAATAAATAGTAAAAACTAAAAGCGGAGGGGTGTGACAATATTAAAAAATATATTTGCCACATGATCCAAATACATAAACCTTATGTAATCTTAGAAATTTTCTTAAATATATACCAATGCCACTTGTTTGATCTAATTTTAAGCAATTAGACGAATAGGTTTTATATAAATATGATATTTTAGTATTAAAGAAACCAAATCATTAAATGTAAAATTGGAAATAATCAAAAAAATGTTCACATCTTTCAGAATCATATATCCAAGAAATAAATGAAAAAGTTAAATAATAATCATGATATAAATAAAAAAAATTTTAAATTTCAAGTTTATATAATATAGTAAAATCAAAAAAATTAATTTAATAAAAAAATAATTTTACTATAGATTCTACTAAATGAATTAAAATATTAAATATTTCAACTGCAAGAAAATTTCTTTTAAGACTTATAAAACTAAGATATATAAATAAAATATTTAATGATATTTTCAATTTTCAATGATTTAAAAAAAAAATAACTAAACATAACTATTTTATATTATTCAAAAAAATATAATTTTTTGATTTTAAAATACATTAATTAATTTACTTATTAAAAAAAAATAATTAATTAAAATAAAATTTTAAATTAATAAATTATATATATAAAAAATAAATATACAACAAAGTAATATCTTTTAAATACTTTTATTTGATATTTATTTTTTTTATAAAATGTGATAATTTTACAATATACATTTATATTGAATAAATTACACAAATAAATATTCAAAAAATAAAAAAATTCAAGAATCAATACAGTTACAAAAATTTATTACTCAACAAATATTAAACAATCAAAATAAAAATTTATATATAAGTAGTTTGAATATATGAAATATTTTTATTTAATATATAATAAGTGATTTACTTTAACTAAAGTAATCAAATTAATTTGTAAATTTAAAAAAATGTGATTCATTTAGTGAAATTACAAAATATTTTTTTTTACATAAATATTAATTTAATTTTAATAAAAAATTTAGATGTTAATAGTATCAAATCTGCTGAATAACTTTAATTTAAAAATAAAAGATAATTAACTTTAAACAAAATACTCAAATTATCCTGTAAAGTTAAAAAAAGTATTATAATATTAATAAATTACAAATCATATATTACTATACAAATATTAATTCAATTTTGATAAAATTTTATATGCAAATAGTATCAAATCTGTAAATAACATTACTTAGAAATAAAAAAGTGATTAACTTTGACCAAAATACTTAAATTTTCTTATGAAGTCAAAAAATGTGACTTATTTAGTAAAGTTATAAAAAAATATATTTCTACATAAATATTAATCTAATCTTAATAAAAAATTAAATATAAATATTATCAAACTTTCTGAATAACTTTTACTTTAAAATAAAAAATTATTAATTTTGACTAAAGTACTCAATTTTCATTATGAAATTTCTATATTAATATTTATAAAATAAAGATATTAAATAAATATAAAAATTAAAATCTATAAAAATAAAAAAAATTATATTTAATAAGAGTTTTTATAAATACAAGTATTTAAATTTAAAAAAAGGTTGTTTTTAAAGATTATTTTAAATAAAATAAGTGATTTTTTTGTTAAAAAAATAACAGTTTACAAAAAGATTGGAAAATTAATTTTAGTAATATTAATTGTATAACTATAATTAATTATAGAATTGTAATTAATTATCAAATTAAAAATTTCTATATCATTTTATATACAATCTAAATTTGCTAATTAATTACTATCCTATAATTATTTACTATCTTATAATTAATTATATAATTATTATATTTTTAAATAATATATAATTAATTACCGTAATTACAAATTACATTTTTACATAATTATATGACATATTTACATATTACAATAAGAAGTTATATGATAAACTAAAAATAAAATTTATTTGTCTAAAAAAAAAATATTTTTTTTAAGTGAAATTTTTTTAAACAAAAATAAATTATTTTATAATTATAATAATATATAAATTTAATGTAATTATCTATAATATATATATAAACTACTAAATTTAGACCAATTTAGCCCTTTATATATTAAAATTTTGTTTAAAAATACACAAATTAATAATCTAATTATAATTAAAAAAGTTTTAAATAATACATAAATTTTAAATTTTACCCTATTAATACCTGTATAATGATTATATATTATTTAATCTTATTTCTATATTACTTTGCAGAAATCTTTAATTTTTCTAAATATATTTGATATACTACTGATAGATAGTATTTATAAATTTAACATATTACTATATATGTAATATTACTAATATATCATTATTAAAGATGGCGTTGCAACTAGTTGTAATTATGTGATACTTATTTGTCACTGATTGCAACTAGTTACAACTCAATTTTTATTAATGTTGCAACTAGTTGCAACCCTATGATGCTTATTTATCACCAGTTGCAACCAGTTGCAATACTATCTTTAATCATTATATACAAGCAAAATATATTAATAATATATTATTTATAGAGTTTTTATTTGTATCATCCCCGATGATTTCTTTAAACACCATCCCATCATGGCGCAATATATAAATCATGTGACTACGCCATAATTGTGTCATTTGACTGCAGTAATTATTAATAATTAAAATCGTTAAAATGATCAGTAAACTTTTTAAACTTTTCTTACAAACTTTTGATGCTTTAGCTTCTTTTTACATTCT